GCTGTTGCATTTGTAGTGGCAACTGATTACGGATGGGCAGTTTTGCACAGCAAATCATTAAAGCATCAGCAGCCATGCTGGGAACATGAAACCCTGTGTTCCATCCCAGACATGTCCCTCTGCTCTCCTGTGCTCACACCCCGCTCCGAGCCGCCTTCACCTCCCTAAGCCCCCTTCCCAGACAGTGCCAGATGCAATACCATGCACGTGGATGTGGTCCTTGCTCCATTTTCCTGCATCCAGGGAGCAAAACGCTGTTTGGTGCATGCTGCTGAGCCTGCTGGATGAGGAGCACTGGGGATTCTGCTGTCTCTGGCCTCTCCTTGGCTATCCCTCCTTCCTTCCACAGGGGTGTGACAGGATCTAGCTTTAGCTATACCCACTCATCCACCAAAGATCATAAAACCAGTGTACTCCTTCCCTTAGCTAAAGGTATACGGGAAACTGGAGAGGGGAAAAGGCTTTTCGAAGCACAGAACACATGAGCAGCTGCTGACCTGCTTTGTTTGCAGGACCTGCCTCCCCAGTCCTATGTCTTTCCCCCCAAAAAACGCAGAGACATCTCTGTAGTGAAAAATGAGCTCCATGAGCAGCATCTCCCCAGCCCGAAGCACTGCATTGGTATTCTAGTCTTCCCACTCCTGCAAAGCAGCCTTATTTATCCCAAACCAACCAGCCTGCTGCTGAACACCAATGAATTACACCAGATGATACCTGATGTGATGAATGGGCACCATGTCCGAGTAGATGACTCAATGCCACCCCCTTGTGCAGGACAAAGCTTCCAGATACCCTTGCACAAGCAACACATAGGCTAAAATGGTGTTCTGTGCAGCTTCCATGTGCAGACAGCAAAAAGAAAAGGAAAACCAATAAAAACAGGCAACGTTTTGCTTCTCAAATGATCATCACGCAAAGTATTGACTTTTCCAAATAATCTCATCAGTGTTGCTAGGCACAGAATTTATCCTGCAGCCGATGCAGATGCTGTTGTTTCACCATTCAAACTTGTTCTGACTTCAGAAAGCATTTTAGCCAAGACAGAGTGGTTTATTTTAATTAAAAGCCTATAAGCCAAGATTATTATTTCTTCTGTTGCTTACCCCCAGGGTCTGGAGATCCTCTACAACACATCCTCTGCCAACAATTTAACACTTGTGCCTGAAGGTCTCTGCAGTTAGAAACAATCTGGGCAAGAACTGTAAATGAATATGAAATCCCAGTTTCTCCTCTCTTTTCATCCCTCTCACTGGCTCAGAATAGCAGGACACAGTGGACAGATTTGAAGCCTGTTCGCCAAAAAAAGGAGCTAATATTTACCAGTAGCAATGTTTGTCTTTTCTGTAATGCTCTTGATCTAAATTGCTCTCCAGTCCTGAATGCCATGTGTTGGAAATGCATCAAAACTCACTTACACAAAGCACAGCTCTCATCACTTAACTGGAATCAGACTCCTGTTCCCTGAGGTCTGGAAAAACAAATTCTCATGCCTTAAAATTGATCAAGTGGCATCTCCATGACCATGAAACAGCTACTGCATCATTGCAAAACCACTGATGGGCACACTGGAGAAGACCAGCTTGAGAACAGTAAGTGTGAGCACCAGCAGGAGCAACTCAGAGAAGGCAGGAAGAGGAAGACGAGTGATGGGTGGCCACTCTTTAAGAAGTACAGGGGGAAAATGATGGAGATGGAAGTGGGAAGAAACCCTGTGAGGGATCTGGTAGGTCCAGCACCCCTGCACAGGCCTCTTCCCACTGGTTTCCAAAAGAGGGTTCAATAGATACTCCCAAAATCTCACCTATATAATAAACGCAGACCCTTTGGAAGCAGCCAAAGGGGGTGCTTGAATCATTGCTGAAAGCATATCATGGTATGTCTGCCCCAAACCAGACACAATGGGGTCTCATTGGGTGCTGCCAGCCTTCAAATTACTCCTGACAATTCTGTACACTGAGGACTAGCTAATGCTTACCAGGCAGCTGTGATTTAAGAAAAAATATTTAAGACAATTTAAGACTCTCTTAAACATTTAAGACATTTAAAGATATCTGTGCACAGGTACATGTTACTTCCACTTGCATGCATTTGGCAGGAGGATGATAAAACCATTTGGAAATAGAGCAAGAGGCATCCAGGGGTGTTCTCCACAAAACTGCTTGGTGTGTGCTGCATCTCACTTGGGAAAGAGACTCTGTGAGATGGAACAGAGTCCATGTTTCCTCAGCTCTCCTGATATTGATAGTCTATATTGACTTGGCTTAAAATAGTATTTGCAGGATGATTTTTCCCTCCTCTTAAATACTTCCCAACCCGGCTGAGAGACCACAGAGGGCCATTCTAACTGGAGCAGAACTGATCGCTGCTGCTACCTGAGAAAGAAACACACACACATATGACTCAATTTAAAGGCCACATGGGAAATCAAGGAGGGAAAATACATCTGAGAGACCCTCCACATCTCCACTCCCTACCAATGCTCAGGTCTCAGCTGAATCCTGCTTTTCTCAGGCTGACCACTGCTCTTTAGGCCATACGTATGATAGGACTGGTGTACCCTTTCTCTATTATTCCAAGCCTGACTCTTCCATGCTTTATCCCTCTCTTTCTTCTCTATTCTTCTGTTTCTACCCCTTCCCCATCTACTGCAGCCCCACTGCTGTTGTAAGATCCTTTCCTTCTGCAGCTTTTGCCATCTAGAACTGCCTTCCTGTACCCCACCAACTCACAGCTTCATCTGCAAATGCATCTCCAGGCCCTCACTTGTTCCTTTGAATTCCACCCTCCTTCTGCTCTTTCTTATTATTTAACTCTGTCACTGCATTATTTAAAGTGTTATTAGGGCACGCTTGGAACAGAATCTGCACAAAGTGCCACAGTACCGTAAAAGCTGGACCCTCCGCACAAATACCCCAAGAGACAAAACAGTCACATTTGAAGAGAAGCTGTTTGGATGGAAGAGGGAACTTTCTGGATGTCAACATGGATTCCCTCTCCCCTTGGCACTGGTATAAGAGCCTCTTCAAGATGCCTTTTGCTGCCTGTAGCGTTGGGGTGAGGTTTCATGGTAGCATTGCCCAGCCAGCTGACACCAGAGTCTCTTCTTATCCCACCCTCACTGTCCTTGTCACCTAGCACCGGTCACATCCACAGGCTTGTGGCACTATCCCATCCTTAAGATCATTCCGTGGGGATGGCTGCAGGGGTGAAGTGCTCTATCAGCAGCCCAGAGTCACCCCTTGCCCTGCCATTCCCATCCAACAAATGTGAAAATTGCATGTCAAAGGGATATGGAAACACAGCCAAGCTCCGGTTCCAAAAAGGGCTTTGTTTCAATGCAGACATAATCCCACTGGAGATAATGCAGATGCATAAATGCTTTGCTTAAGGACAAGGTGACTTATGGCCCTGCAGATGGCTTCAGTAAAGCCAGGTAGGAATGGGCAAAGGAGGGAACCTGTTTCCTGAATGACACTTCCATATGTGAGGTTTTTTTTTCCTTTTTCTTTGGGAATAAGCAGCAAAATTATTGTATTCTTCATGAGCTCTCCTACCCCAGGAGAACTGAAATCTGAGATTAAATCTTCTCTTTAAGGGCTTTGAAATCCAGGAAAGTGCTATGTAAAGAGTTGTATTTTTACCCTTACAAGTAAAAGACCATAAACATTTTTCCTGAGGCACTGGAGCACTTGTTCAATTCAGCCAAGGCTTTGCTGCCTGCAGACAACCCCCAGTGCTGTCCCTTCCCATCATGAAGCTGCTTTCCTGAAGCCTCTGCCCTCTTTTCACTCATCCCACTGCAGCCTTAGGGGCACAAGGGCCATTGTCCCCACTGCATGAAAGAGCATGATGAAAGCTCAGACCCAGCATCCTGCTGCTCTAAAACCAGAGCACTCATCCTCCCTGCCTTGCTTCCTCTGAGCAAAGCCACCACAGGCATTTACACAGGCTGAAGGGTCACTAAATGGTGGCAAGTTAACCTGTGAGCTGAATTTTAGGGAGGGCTCCAGACTTGTCTGCTTCTCTATCAGAGAATTCAGCCTGTGAATATGATCTTCCCAGTGGGTATTTCTGCTTCTTAAATAGCTCCAGCAAGGCCAGTTCCACCGGGGGGGCTGGAAAGCACCAATGGCTCAGTGGGACAGTGATGGTACTTCCTCTTCTCCCCATTGCTCACGTGCTGGGATGAGGCTTGCAAGGCGCAATGAAGGCAATGAAACATTCATGACTACCACGTTCCTGCCCCTCATGGTGTATGTTTAGCTCTCATGTCCACACAGATATGTTACAAATCACTGCAGCTTCATCAACGCCAAACTCTTGCTCTGACAACCTAATGCTAGAATCCAGACCAGGATTTCAATTTCTATCACATGTCAGGAGGCCAGGAACAAGGTTTTAAAAGACTTTTACAAAACTCCACCCAATTCAGTCTGGACGGTGATGGAGGGTAGTAAAAGGAGACAGAAACGCTTACATCCAGGTTTGACTCTTCTGACTTACATAAACTTGGTAACAGCTAAAGTTTATTAGCAAGCAGAGGCTGTTGGATGATCAGTGAAATGAGCAGTGATCTCACAGGAAGCCACATATCTAATCCATTGGCAAGAACCATGCAGCACTGTGTTCTGGGAGGTTTTTAATCCCTACCATAAGAGTCTGGACTGTCCCTGCTTTTCCAGGAAGGTTTAATGCTATTTAAAATCACACTGCGCAACAGACATAAGGCAGCTCCCACTGCCAGACCTGCCTCCCCTCTGATGCCTGAAGACAGCAGGACCAAACCACCTCAGGGCAACATCATGGGTAAAACTTGCACTGGCACAACATGGTTATCCCTGCAGCAGCACAGGGTGGTCTTGCAGAGCATATTGTGAGACAGACCCCAGTAGCCTTTACACAACCGTTCACGCTCAGCAAAACATCTCGTGCTTCTCAACAGATCAATTCTGGAAACTATTGATAGTTGGCTGAAATTGCATCTAAAAATAATCACTTACCTGCCAGAATATGCTGTCTATTGTATTTCCCAGAAAGCCATCTCTGCCTTCCGATGACACCAGCTTAGGTCCCAGAATAGTCATAAATTCATCAAAATCAACCTGGCCATCCCCTGGAATGAAAGAAAAAGATCAATGTTTTCACTGAAGTACCACTTAGTGCCATTGCCCAACATGCTGCTCTGGATCTGATGCACATCATGGACCCACACATGCACTATGGCACCTCATAAACAACTTCATGGTGCCTACAGACCCAGATTCATTGATATCCCAGTGAATGGCCCCTCTTGTGGTACATCCAGACCTGAAGACAGGACCCAAACAGAGATGATGAACAACAGATCATTCCTCAGTGCTGGAGCTTGTAGGCAAGTCACTTCTCAGAAAACCCATTCTTGGCAGGAGGACAGCAGCCATTAGCATGGCCAAGGCTCTTCCTTTCTACAGAACTGCCAGACAGACAGGTCTCTGCAAGGCTTTTACAGGGCCAACCCCGCTCTCCAGAGGAAGGGAGCACACACAGAGAGAAGAACCAGACTAATCCAGAAGGCATTTCATTTCAGCTTTCCATCAGCATCTGTCTCTTAGAAGCCCTGTGCACTCAGCATGTAGAGCAGGCAGTGTAGACACAGCTTCAGCACCATTAGCAGGAAGAGGAGACTGCTCCTGCTGTTAATGAACTGAGCCTATGCAGTCCCAAGCCCCTGCAGTACATTGTATATTTTGGAAATGAGGCACGTGGCTGTTTGAAGTATATCTGAGCCTTGTGTCAAATGTTACTTTCCCCTCAGAGAACTTCTGCGATGCTTACTGAAAATGGCAAAAAAAAAAAAAGAAGAAGGGAAAATCATGCCTGTTGAAGGCTCTTAAAAATACCTGCTCCTCTGAGCAGCATAGTTCAATGTCTGTATCTCTCCTTTGTCTATCAGTCCATAGATGTATCGTCCTACATATTATTAGGCCGACTGATACGGGTGGCTATATTGTCTGGGAGCGGAATCAGCAACTGTAAGACTTTCAAATTGTCTTTTGCTCAAATTCATCTGGAACTGACTGCATCCACCTCTCCATGTAGTTTCTGTTGCTAAATTATTAGGGGTAAAAGAAGTGCCTAAAGCCATCAGGCTAAAGCAGGTCAATGCAAGGACTACTATGAAAATGTCACTATTGACTGCAGTACCTGCAGCTGCCCTGCATGATAGCTTCACCACGTGCACTGCATGCTGCTCCTATCTGTCCTTCTTATTATATTTCATATGCTTGGTCTGAGCGTATGCACTGATCAAACTCTCTGCATGTCCTTATCTTTGCAGAAACACAGTGTGAAAATAAGCAGAGTCAAAACACTTGCCAGAATACTGATCTCTATTTACTAGGCTCTGCCTGTAATTTCTTGAAGACGAGAGTGAATATCCTGGGGGTGAGCCCTTGGCGGGGGCTTTGAAAGGAAACCCAGCAGGGATTCATAATAGCTTTGATCCTGTAACGTGCAGGAAGAGCCCATCCAACTGCTAAAGTTGCTCACACTTTCAGGACTCAGCCCACACTGAAGAGTTCTGTGGGGCTGGAGTGGGTTGAGCTTTTGCAGGATGGAGCTCATTTCTTTATACAGACAATGAAAGGGGTGGACATCCACCACTTGGAAAGCCATTCTTTAAAACCTTTATGGGCTATGAGAAAATGTGTTCCTTCTGCTTCCCCACGGGAGGCATCAGTTTATGGCATCAAGTCGGACTGTATCAGTCACAGCAGGCTGGATCATGTTGGGGAAGGTAATGCAAGGTGACAGTGGATTTGGGGTGATTTACATTGCAATACATCAAAGGAAAGGCAGCAACAAACCCATACACTATCATGCAAATCAGGTTAAAGAAATTAGACAGATTAGCAAGAAAACAATCTGCATTTTAAAGAATTCTAGTACCTGCCCCTGCATATATTTTGTCGATCCATATGTGACCCCAAGACACTGAGTTATTCAATTCGGATTTTCTGCAATGTCATTTCATCCACAGAGGAGAGCCAGGACTTAGTCCTACACATGACTCAGGAGAAAGCGGGTGCCAGGACTCTTGGGCTCTGTGTCTGACTCAGAACAAGACTTTGGACAAACCCTTGCTCATGGCTTCCCTGTGCCTTTGCCAAGGATCATAACTAACTGCACAGGGTTTAATTATCAGCTTAATTATAGCATTTTCCACAACCTCAGAAGAAAGATGCCATTATAAAATGCATTATCCATTTATTGACTGCTTTTTCAATTAAAACTGTTAACTAGCAAGGAAACCAGACCCCAAAACATTTTGCCTGGTAGAAATATCCCTTTAACATTTGTTTTTAGTTGCAGAAAACAAAGCTTCCTGGTGTCAGGATCTCAGGAGACTGCAGCATCCTAATACCAAGAAAGAGAACTCAGAATTTTGGCTGCAAATTCCATTTACAGTATTTAAAAGCCAGGAGAGAAAAATTATTAAAAACAACAAGTAGGCTCCAAGACACACCCAGCACAACTCTGCATGGTTGCAAGGTGAAAATGCAGGGGGTTGCTCTCCACAGCCATGGCATAACCAGGTAATGTCCAATACCCACATTGCCTGCAGGATCTATAAGCATCCAGGCTACCCACCAGATGCTGAGACCACTCAGCTTGAAATTTGTGTGGGGTACAGTCAAAAGATGCCTTCCTCCTCCTCCTTGCCATAGTCACACACACAGTGTGCTACAAGCTGATGTGTGATGCACACATCAAGCATCTGCTTGAGAATCTGCATTGGAGGCAAATCAAACACCGCACAGAACCCCACGTTCAGCTTTGCTGTGCCTCCAGATGTGCTCCTTGCCTCAATGTAGTTGATATTCAGAGCGAGTGATGTGTAACTTATTCAGAAATGAACTTTTAGTTGGGTTAAGGGGTGGGAAAAAGGGAGAGTAAAGGCCAGGCTGGAGCATGAGTGCTGTGTACACTGCTCTCACCTTCCCTTGCTCCTTTCCGTGAGCCATCCAGCAAGCCCTGAACAACACAGCTGTCAGCAGTGATCACAAAGCCCCAGTCTCTCACTGTCCCCTCTGGCCAATTTATGTGTGTGGTGTTCACATCCTTCCCCACCATCTGTCTGCAACTACTTCAGCATAAACTCATCACACTAAAGGAAAACAACCTCGAGGACAGATGGGGCACAAGCAGGAGAAATACTATGGCCAGGATGTGGGGACTGTGCTCCCTGTCCAATGATAGTTGCAGCTATTTTCTTCTCCCTGCTCCCATTAGCTACAAATACAAGCATGGTTTATAAACCAGAGCCATGCTGTAGTCACTGATGAAGGTACTCACACATTCAGTAACTTATTTACAAACTCAGAAGGCAGGGAAACCTCAAGGGATGGTAATGCGGGAGAGCTGGGGCAGGAGAAGACTGTTAGGGGACATGGTGGGCAAGGACCAGAGGGGTTCTGGGCAGGATGTAGTCCAGATGCCACCCCATCCCTGAGTAACAACTCATTAGCCAAGGGACAGTTACTGCTTGTGTGGGTGACCTTAGCAAAACAGTGGAGCTGAGCTGTATCACTAACCCCTAAACCTCTTAACTCCCTTAACCAACTAGAACATCTATTTATTTACTAACAGTTATGCCCTAACATTTTTCTCTACCATAATGTTTCCTCTTAATCTTAATCCCAGCATTAATGTCAAAGAGTCAGAAGGGGGTTAGCAATCATGTGGCTGAACCTTGAATGACTAAAACTATGACTCAGAACATTGCTGGCCACATCATCAGAGACAAATCAGGTCTGCTTATCATTACTAGTCCATTAGCATCCTCTGGGTACTAAGTGCTTCTGATACCCACAAAGGTTTGCTCCCTGCAAGACACTGTCTCAGTTATGACAAAAAGCAGGCATATGTGATAATAAAAAGGAATAGCAAATAGATGCACTGTCAATGGCCACAGGAGCAATTGTGTGAGCCTGACTAATTGCTCTATCACAGAAAGAGGGTGCTGAATCATAGAATCATAGGATCATAGAATCATAGAATGGGTTGAGTTGGGAGGGACCTTGAAGTTTATGCAGTCCCAGCCCCCTGCCACGGGCAGGGACACCTTACACTAGAGCAGCTTGCTCCAAGCCCTGTCCAACCTGGCCTTGAACACTGCCAGGGATGGGGCAGCCACAGCTTCTCTGGGCACCCTGTGCCAGGACCTCAGCACCCTCACAGGGAAGGATCAGCATCCTCATAAGGAAGAACACAACTGTCCCAGTCCAGCAGGGTTTACCATCAGCAGTGGCTTGCCCATGTTGGATGTGCCAGGCAGGAAGAGTGCAGCAGACCACCCCCAAATCATACCAGACCTGGAAGAGGAGAGAGGGATTAAGCAGAGGTGGGAAGGCAAATCCCCAAGTCCCAGGTAGCAGCAGCCTGTGCGTGGGCTCTTGCCTGGCTCCTGCCAGAGCTCTTCTGCTTTGAAGGAATAATTAAATGCTCAGAGGAGCAGCGGCATGAACACAGCTCATCCTCCATCCCCTGAGAGAGCCCCGATCCCCAGCCCTCAGTCGACCTCTGTCTGTCCAAACATCTCCCATTGGAGTGGCTCCCTTGGAGCGCAAATTAAATATTCATTGGGCTGGAGAAAGACAGATCAAGAGAGGGAAAGAAAGAGGGGGAAAAACACGCATGGATTGCATCACCTATATACAAGGGCACAACAGAGACTTACACCTGGGTTTCAGAGCCTTGTGCCTTAAACTGGGAGCCTGTTTAATCTGGCCTGACTGCTTCATAAATAAGGCTTTTCCGTGGCCAGTCTCAGGACAATGGGGTTCTTCCTCCTCCTTAAAAGTTTCTTGTAATGGCATTGAAATGAGGCACACATTTAAACAGAGATGGGGATCTGCTGCATGGAGACTGATAAGTATTCTCCCTTTTTTTCCTTCGAGTTTGACCTCCAGAGTGCAGCTAGGTGATATATTTAAAGTTAATGAGCTAGTCTTTTGCAGCTTGGGTCCCAGGCGCATACAACACTCCTGTTTATTTTTATTCTCTTAATAGCTAGCTGCAGTGATTCTCTGTCCCAGTCTGTGTCATTGTGCCCATAAAGTAACCTGTGCAGTA